CAACAACACAACACTGTACAACAACGCAACACTGTACAACAACGCAACACTGTACAACAACGCAACACTGTACAACAACGCAACACTGTACAACAACGCAACAACTGTACAACAAACGCAACACTGTACAACAACGCAACACTGTACAACAACGCAACACTGTACAACAACGCAACACTGAACAACAACGCAACACTGTACAACAACGCAACACTGTACAACAACGCAACACTGTACAACAACGCAACACTGTACAACAACGCAACACTGTACAACAACGCAACACTGTGCAACAACACAACACTGTACAACAACGCAACACTGTACAACAACGCAACACTGTACAACAACGCAACACTGTACAACAACGCAACACTGTGCAACAACACAACACTGTGCAACAACACAACACTGTACAACAACGCAACACTGTACAACAACGCAACACTGTACAACAACGCAACACTGTACGACAACGCAACACTGTACAACAACACAACACTGTACAACAACACAACACTGTACAACAACACAACACTGTGCAACAACACAACACTGTACAACAACGCAACACTGTACAACAACGCAACACTGTACAACAACGCAACACTGTACAACAACACAACACTGTGCAACAACACAACACTGTACAACAACGCAACACTGTACAACAACGCAACACTGTGCAACAACGTAACACTGTACAACAACGCAACACTGTGCAACAACACAACACTGTACAACAACGCAACACTGTAACAACAACGCAACACTGTACAACAACGCAACACTGTGCAACAACACAACAATGTACAACACAACACTATGTAACAACACAACACTGTACAACAACACAACACTGTATAACAACACAACACTGTACAACAACGCAACACTGTACAACAACACAACACTGTACAACAACGCAACACTGTACAACAACGCAACACTGTACAACAACGCAACACTGTGCAACAACACAACACTGTACAACAACGCAACACTGTACAACAACGCAACACTGTACAACAACACAACACTGTACAACAACACAACACTGTACAACAACACAACACTGTACAACAACACAACACTGTACAACAACGCAACACTGTACAACAACGCAACACTGTACAACAACGCAACACTGTACAACAACGCAACACTGTGTAACAACACAACACTGTACAACAACGCAACACTGTACAACAACGCAACACTGTACAACAACGCAACACTGTACAACAACGCAACACTGTACAACAACGCAACACTGTACAACAACGCAACACTGTACAACAACGCAACACTGTACAACAACGCAACACTGTACAACAACGCAACACTGTACAACAACACAACACTGTACAACAACGCAACACTGTACAACAACGCAACACTGTACAACAACGCAACACTGTACAACAACGCAACACTGTACAACAACGCACCACTGTACAACAACGCAACACTGTACAACAACACAACACTGTACAACAACGCAACACTGTACAACAACGCAACACTGTGCAACAACACAACACTGTGCAACAACGCAACACTGTACAACACAACACTATGTAACAACACAACACTGTACAACAACACAACACTGTATAACAACACAACACTGTACAACACAACACTATGTAACAACACAACACTGTACAACACAACACTGTACAACAACACAACACTGTACAAGACAACACTATGTAACAACACAACACTGTAGAACAACACAACACTGTTAGAACAACACAACACTGTAGAACAACACAACACTGTAGAACACAACACTGTACAACACAACACTATACAACAACACAACACTGTACAACAACACAACACTGTACAACACAACACTATGTAAGAACACAACACTGTACAACACAACACTATGTAACAACACAACACTGTAGAACACAACACTGTACAACACAACACTATGTAACAACACAACACTGTACAACAACACAACACTGTACAACACAACACTGTACAACACAACACTATACAACAACACAACACTGTACAACAACACAACACTGTACAACACAACACTATGTAACAACACAACACTGTACAACACAACACTATGTAACAACACAACACTGTACAACAACACAACACTGTACAACACAACACTGTACAACACAACACTATACAACAACACAACACTGTACAACAACACAACACTGTACAACACAACACTATACAACAACACAACACTGTACAACAACACAACACTGTACAACACAACACTATGTAACAACACAACACTGTACAACACAACACTATGTAACAACACAACACTGTACAACAACACAACACTGTACAACAACACAACACTGTACAACACAACACTGTACAACACAACACTATACAACAACACAACACTATACAACAACACAAGACTATACAGCAACAACACAACATTATACAACAACACAAGACTATACAACACAACACTATACAACACAACACATACAACACAACACTATACAACACAACACTATACAACACAACACTGTACAACACAACACTATACAACAACACAACACTATACAACAACACAAGACTATACAGCAACAACACAACACTATACAACAACAAAAGACTATACAACACAACACTGTACAACAACACAACACTATACAACACAACACTATACAACACAACACTGTACAACAACACAACACTGTACAACAACACAACACTGTACAACAGCACAACACTGTACAACAACACAACACTATACAACAACACAACACTGTACAACAACACAACACAACACTGTACAACAACACAACACTATACAACACAAACACTGTACAACAACACAACACTGTACAACAACACAACACTATACAACACAACACTATACAACACAACACTGTACAACAACACAACACTGTACAACAACACAACACTGTTCAACAACACAACACTGTACAACAACACAACACTATATAACACAACACTGTACAACAACACAACGCTATACAACAACACAACACTATACAACACGGCAGTACACACAAAACACAATACTATACAACACAACGCTATACAACAACACAACACTATACAACACAACGCTATACAACAACACAACACTATACAACACGGCAGTACACAACAACACCAAAACTATACAACACAACACTATAACAACACAACGCTATAAACAACAACACACACACACTATACAACACAACGCTATACAACAACACAACACTATACAACACAACGCTATACAACAACACAACACTATACAACACAACGCTATACAACAACACATAAAAACGCTATACAAACAACACAACACCATATACAACACAACGCTATACAACAACACAACACTATACAACACAACGCTATACAACAACACAATACTATACAACACAACACTATACAACACAACGCTATACAACAACACAACACTATACAACACAACGCTATACAACAACACAACACTATACAACACAACGCTATACAACACAACGTATACAACAACACAACACTATACAACACAACGCTATACAACACAACGCTATACAACAACACAATACTATACAACACAACACTATACAACACAACGCTATACAACAACACAACACTATACAACACAACGCTATACAACACAACGATATACAACAACACAATACTATACAACACAACACTATACAACACAACGCTATACAACACACAACACTATACAACACAACACTATTCAACACAACACTATACAACAACACAACACTGTACAACACAACGCTATACAACAACACAACACTATACAACACAGCAGTACACAACAACACAATACTATACAACACAACGCTGTACAACAACACAACACTGTACAACGCATCACTATACAACAAAGCAAAAATTTCGCCAAAATCATTCTGAACCTAACGAAAAAAACATATTTCACTGTGTTTGTTTAGTATTAAATTACTGTAAACAAATCTAAAATATATTTAGTTGAGTTAGGCTAAAATAAATTGTTCTTGTTATAATAAGGTTAGGTAAGTTTTCTAAGATTCCTTTTGTGCAAAATTATAAATTTTTACATTAACATTAATGAAAAAATATATCTTTAAACGTATAAAAGAAAATTTCAGAAAGGACTTTTAAATGAGTTCTTGCTAATTGACCAGTTTTACATATTCGGCACGACACATATATATGTATATATTCAAAATCAAGTACGCATCTTCAACCTAAAAGCTCTTCAGTCATTTAATAAGAGTAATCAGCATAAATGACTAAAGCACTTCAGAAATGTAGCGTCTTAATTATTTAGAACGTTAAACCCGCAAGGGTCCTACAACTAATGAGGACCAGGAATCATTCAAATTCGATTCCCCAGGAAGGTGGACTGCGTGTCTACAACATGGAATTTACACCTGTGGATTACTTTCTTGTTCTCGTGGGTTCAGTATCAACTCCGCGGATTTCCAATGTGATGAATTATATGGATTTCAGGATCGAGTTTCAGCGCCATCAACCTCCACTTCAAAACTGGCTTATTTCAAAGCAGTTTACTAAATCTTCCTTCAACACTTCATCCGAATCATTCCACTTCCTGACCACCCTATGGCTGAAGAAATAATTTCTGTTATTCCTCTGGCTTTAAAGTTTAATTGTACTGATTTATTTCAATTCTCTGCCTCTCTAATAGTATATTATCCAAGTGCTGCCTCAGAGAACTTTGTCCGTCGGTGTTGTGCCTCTCTTGGTAGTTGTACCTTCTAATGTTATCAGATTCAGTATTTTTGTCTCTCTTCATAATTAATTTAACTCTGAGTTTTGTCTCATTAAAAAAATCAGCATATTGTATAGTTCCTTGACATGCTTTATCAGATGTGGGTTCGATATTGGAGGTGCATACTGTAGGATGCGTCTGGCATATGTCAAGTACAGGGGTCATGTGTATTTATATAAGTACCCGCTCATTTTGTTTATGTAATGTGCACTTCCATCACTAGAGAGGCGGTACAAACATTCCGTTTCTTTGGCAGGTGTTGGTGGGAACACCAGCTGATGGTACGTTGTTGAAGGGCGACATCATCACCAGGATCAGCTGCACCGAGACTAAGAACATCACACACCAGCAGGCCGCAGATCTCTTCAACAACGCTGGAAATCAGATCGCCGTCCAGATAAAGAGGTAAGGCACCAGCCCGGGGGATACAAGTGTCCGCTGTGTATGATGAGAGGGCAGGGCAGCTGCCTTCTCCATACAGCGGACAATTACTAATCCAGGTGCATGGACAGCTGGAGATGCCGGAGGCTCAGCGTTGTTAACTTCAGTTATTTAAAAGATTTTTGTCTGTATATATTTTATTTAACAACATTGGCTACACTGTAATGTGCACCTATCTATTCTGTGTAATAGTTAAATTGCCGCAGGAAAAATTACTGTTTCCTTTCAGTATTCTATTCCAAAACTGAAGTGTTTACCTGGAGTTTACCTGGAGAGAGTTCCGGGGGTCAACGCCCCCGCGGCCCGGTCTGTGACCAGGCCTCCTGGTGGATCAGAGCCTGATCAACCAGGCTGTTGCTGCTGGCTGCACGCAAACCAACGTACGAGCACAGCCCGGCTGATCCGGAACTGACTTTAGGTGCTTGTCCAGTGCCAGGGGTCTGTTGGTAATCCCCCTTATGTGTGCTGGGAGGCAGTTGAACAGTCTCGGGCCCCTGACACTTATTGTATGGTGTGCATGAGGTGCGAAACTTCAGATGAGTGATGAGGATATCGTCAAGTATTTCACTATGTATTCAACAGCAATGGAAGTTTAAAGCATTTACCGCCAGCAGGACTGAAGTAAATCTGTGTAGGAGTTACCGTCAATATGGTTAGAGAGGATGAGTGGTACTTGAAGGATACCTGATGAATGATTTTGGAGGTCAGCGCCCCCGCGGCCCAGTTTCAGTCCAGGTCTCCCTGTGGATCAACCAGGCTGTTAGTGTTGGCTGGTTGCACGTAGCCCAACATACGAACTATACCTCGGTTGGTCAGGAAATGATCTGAGGCTCTTGTCAAGTTCCCTCTTGAGGACAACCAAAAGTTTGTTGGTAATTCTCCTTACTTCACCAAGGAAAATAGCCAAAAAAAAAAAAAATCTCTGGATTTACAAGTGCGGATGAACCATAATTGTGATGTAGTTCAGCTGGGCTTGTGAGGTCTCTGGGGAGACCTAATTTAACCAATTATATGGTCACACCTGGCCTTGGCAAATGTCTGTCAGACACGCCTGTTCAGCGTCAGATCTCGGCGTCAGGTCGTAATACGTGGTGCACACCCCATTGTGGAGGGTGCTTGGACCACCATATAATAAACCCAAGGAAGATCTGTTTAGAGGGACTTTGAGCGGAGCTGCTGCTGTGTGCAGAGCTCTGAGCAGGAGATTTGAAAGGAGCTGCTGCTGGGGTACAGGGCTCGGGAGAAGGCTGCTGAAGTGTCTGGAGAAGACTGTTGGAGACATTGGGCAGAGTACTGGCTTGGAGCAGTACTCGTGCTGTGTAGGTCTTGGGGCCTGTGGTGAACTGTCCTCTGAACTATATTGTAAGTTATATTCATTTTCGCCAAGTTGATTGTGTTCCCTGTCTCACTGCTTATATGTACAATCACCATTTATCTAAACCCCAATAATGTTCTCCTGTTCCCAAATATATTATTGTACAAGGACTTAATAATAAACTGTGTTTGAGTAGAATAGTAATACTCACTGTCCCCGTTATTTTCTCTTTTATTCATTGTTTTATTTCAAGTAGTGAGAGGGTGAGTAGTGTGGTGAGTAGTGAGAGGGTGAGTAGTGTGGTGGGTAGAGTAATGAGAGGTGAAGGTGCATCACCTGTGACCTCACATTACCTACCTCCACTAATCATCTCCCCTACCGCTCGCCGCTAACCACCTCGCCTGCCTATCCCCTGCCTACTGACTCCTTACTCCCATATTCCCCACTTATATCCTTACATTCCATTACCCCCTGCATGATATAATCAGTGAAGGTGCTGAGGGCAATTCCTACATAATACTACCTCCAGTCTTGCTGTAACTATTTCTTACAAGCTTTCATAGCTACTGATCTAATAGTGGAATGTTTGAGGGTGAGATTGATGAGAGGATTAGGAAAATAAACTGACAATGTGATGTTCTGATGAGAACACTGCAGACATGCCTGAACCTTATATGATGTTCTGACGAGAACACTACAGACCAGCCTGAACCTTATATGATGTTCTGACGAGAACACTACAGACCAGCCTGAGCCTTATATGATGTTCTGACGAGAACACTACAGACCAGCCTGAACCTAATATGTGACAAGAATATCAATGAGTCATGTTAGCCATAAAAGACTGAAGCCTGAGCCACAGTCACCTGGGCTTCATGCCACATGATACGTAGCTTCGAAAATCACTAAAAGAAAAATGACGAGGAGTAACGGTGATCTATTTATAAAATATTTGATACTCGAAGGACAGGTAAAGAAATATGAAGGAAGAAGTGAGACGTGCGCAGCGTCGACTTGGCAACGCAAGAGAAGAAAAATATTGAAGAAAGGTTACACATATCGGATAACATGCAGATAATTATGGTGACACGTGTGTGGTAGTGGCGGAAGCAAGAAGTCAGCAGCTAAGATGGAGGAATAATATCACCAGTTGTTTATGTATATCAACATTTACCCTTTTCATAATGGCACTTTAAAAAAAAAGGTGTAAAATGGACAGTCTTTTTTCATCGTTTTGTTTAATCTTTGAACGAAGTATTTTGAAACAAACATCCTCTCTGATATCAAACAGCTTGACGTAACCTAGCTTAGATAACCTGATGCAATATTTTCATAAGAAAATATATTTTGAGAGAAGAGAGGGTGTCTTTATCTCAGTTTTTGACAGGTTAAGCTTCGTACTGCCAAACATCATATTCACCATATGTGTGTGTGTGTGTTTGTTTATAAATATATATATATATATATAATATATATATTATATATATATATATATAATATATATATATATAATATATATTTTATATATATATATATATATATATATATGTACTATAGTATTGTAACCACGAACGAGAGGTATTTAATCAATAACAACACTGCGACTAGCCGGGGGATCGAACCCCGGCTAGTCGGGGTTCGATCATGGTGAGCAAAAATTCACGACGCTCTAACCCACTGGACCATCCAATCCTACAAAGATCACGCACCCAGCAGAGCTAGGTGTTGTACAGTGATCTGAGAACATACGATGGTGTGGGTGCCTAAGAGCTAATTTCATTCTACTCCCCGTTTGGTGTACTAGCCTCCACAAGCAGTATATATAGAACTGTAACCACGAACGAGTGGTATTTAATCAATAGCAACACTGCGACTAGCCGGGGGATCGAACCCTTGTCGATCGCCCGTGACTCCTTGCTGGATTCCTGCTCTAGGTTTGTATTTTCTGCAGTTACTGTTCAATTGTCGTGCGCCTAAGGTGATATGCTCAGTACTTTGTTCACCTCGAGGTCTTTCTCCTTGCGAAAAGTTTGTATTTTGATTTAGGACTTCTTTGCCAAAATTTTCATAACCTTACATTTACTGGACTTAAAGGACTAAGGGTGACATGACTGCAACATGAAAAATACTGAGTGGAATGTACAGGGTGAGTCTGTGTGAGAGGCGGGTCTCAGGTACACGAGGGCACAGCTGGAAATCAGAAGCACAGATGAGTCACAGGGATGTTAGGAAATTTTTCTTTAGCATTAGAGTGGTTAGGAAGTGGAACAATATAGACAGGGAAATGGTAGATGCAAGATCCAGACGTGGCTTTAAGAATAGGTATGAGAAGTCTCAGTCAGGAAGAGTGAGTGAACCCATTAGCGGCTAGCAGAGAGGAGGGGGGTCAGGAGCTGAAACTTGACTCCCACCAATAGGTGAACAGAAATTTGTGAGTGCATAGTGGTCAGATTTCAGCCAGAGGTAAGAGACTTCGCCAGGGCAATAAGATAACGACAAGTATTTAGGTGTTGGTTCACCAACTACAGATTCAAAGACACTGGAATTAACTTCTCTCATAATTCCTTATTCCTTAAGCAGGAGAAATAAAATTTTTATGAAAGTATCACCATAATCTGAGAGTTAGCTGGGGAAACATAAATTATATAATATTACATACATAAAATACATACATATATATATATAATATATATAAAATATATATATATATATATTAATATATATATATAATATATATATGAAATATATATATAATATATAATATATAATATATAAAAATATATATAGTATATATATATATATATAAATATATATATATATATATATAAAATATAAATATATATTTTATATATATATATATATATATATATAAATATATAATATATATATAATTATAAAATATATATATATATATATATAAAACATATATAAAATATATATATAATATATATATATATATAATATATATATATATATATAAAATATATATTAATATAATATATATAATATATAGATAGATAGATAGATAGATAGATAGATAGATAGATAGATAGATAGATAGATAGATAACGAGGGGAAAGTGAAACTTTTGTGACATATAACAATGCAGAATAATTATGTACCTAACAATACGTACTAGTACTATCGTGGTGGCAGCCCCTGAACACCATAGACCAAACTCTACTGCACTGAGTACAATAACAACAACAACACTCGGTGAATGTGGATTGAACCAAGGCAAGTTAGGCAGGGCTAAGCTGCAGTGTGTCACATTAATTCATTAAAGACGCCGCACATGTACCCATGCATACACATTTGCATGTACACACACACACACACACACACACACACACACACGCCAAGCACTGAGCCAGCTAACGAAGCTGATGCTACTACACTTCATACACTGATTTCCTTCGTACCTTCGTATTTTTACAAGTTACTGCAGTGCGGCTTGTAGTCTGCTGAACTGAGCCATCAGTGTAAGTATTGTACTTACTGGACAGCGTATCTGCAAGCGTGGCAGTCCTTCTAACCTGTTGCCTTTTAAGGACGGATGTTTCCAATGTTCATCTAACACGTGTATGTTATCCTCACAGTAGGCAGTGAACTGGGAGGTATATCATGGACAGGTGAACCGCATTTCACA